TACAGTGTAGACTAAAGTAAAAACTTGTTAGAGTGTATATTACAGTGTAGACTAAAGTAAAAACTTGTTAGTGTACATTACAGTGTAGACTAAAGTAAAAACTTGTTAGTGTATATTACAGTGTAGACTAAAGTAAAACTTGTTAGTGTATATTACAGTGTAGACTAAAGTAAAACTTGTTAGAGTGTATATTACAGTGTAGACTAAAGTAAAACTTGTTAGTGTATATTACAGTGTAGACTAAAGTAAAACTTGTTAGTGTATATTACAGCGTAGACTAAAGCCGAGCGACGAGCGCGCCCCCTCAGAGAGCAGCAGAACCTCCTCCTGATAATCATGTTTTCAGTTCAGTAACGTCGGGGAAAACGATCCAAACCATACAAGTAGCCCATCAGTTTAAAGCCCAGACTCTGCTCTTTCCAACAATATAAGTGTCACAGCTCTACGTGAAAAATTCACAGAACAAGCAGCCAAGGAATAGTGAAAAAGGCTAAATTCTGGAACCAAAAACACAAAGGTCTTTCCTTTGTTTTTATGTCTTTAATCCATTTGGAGTGATTTTTTTTCCACTTGACTGGACCTGTACGTCTCCTGTGTTAATGTTGGTACATGTAATATGATAATTCTGTACTGTGAAGATCATTAAGAGTTGTCTGGTGAAAAAATCTTTCGCTAACACTGTGTTGACCGTGAACCGGAAGTGTTGGGAGTGGCATCAAGTGCTGGACCGATCAAGTGCTGGACCGGATGTCCGTGGTATATAGACTTTTGTGGTAGTACTCTGTATCATGGTGTTATGTGGATGACCCATAATGCTTTGCGTTTGGGTAGGGGGTGTGGTTTATTGTGGTGCAGGGCTAAGATCTGGTGTATTGTTTTGTAGTTTGCTGGGGTTTGGTGGATTGGTTTTAATTTTTGGGCCTCATTTTTGCTGTAATAGTTTTGTCTTTTTAAATAGTTTTTGTGACTATTTTGAGGCTTGAAATTTAAAGAAGCTGGGTATTTTAGGCCTCTGCTTAGGCATGTATCTGTGTGGTAAGTTTAAGGTAAAAGGTTAAGGGTTAGGCATGTGGTTAATTTCAGGTAAGGGGACTGTTTGGTGGAGTCTGCTGAATATTCTGGACTAATTATCCAATGGAGCACTGAAGCCCTCCAARCCTTAACGACATCTAGAATTTGTCMCAAATATGAAGAGCAGCTTCTGACCTTTAAAAAAAACTTACAGTATTTTTGTGTTAATAAACSTGACAGGTCTTTGCTGATTGATGAAGTCCTATTTAATTGTAAGTAAATTTAATTTAGTTACAATTCAAATACAWTACAAATTTAACCAAGATTTARATCAATTATCACTTTGATCAGTGGGATTTGTGTCTMATGCCACTTTAGATTCAATGAGATGAGCCCTACATGGGAAGGTTAAGAAATAGAATAGAAATAGCCTTTATTGTCCTGCCGAGGGGAAATTCAGGAGCATCAGTACAGAAGTTTACAYACTAGTTACTTTACAAACTATAGATAGTACACAACACTGACTAACCATGATGAACACCTGCTCTAAGACAACATTTTATGTTGAGATGTACAGTACTGACAGCAGTAAAATCTGGTGATTTTTGATATTTGTACAACTTTGACCTGCCAATAAAGATTTTTTTTGTTAATGATTTATTTCTCTCGTAAAACTACAATTAACAAAATAATCTGTCTTCCCGTATGTGCAGYTTTTGTAACTGGAATGTATTCTTCTGTAGAACCTTTTCAAAGCTTCTTGTTATGGAAAAAGCACTAATTTTATTTATTGCCTTTATTTAATTTAGTTCTATTCAAAGGGGTCTTTTGTAAAAAAAAGTCTTTAACTTATATAGCTCTTTATCAAGTCCCTACGAACTCTAAAACGCTTTACATTTTAATCATTCACCCGTTCGTACACACATTAACACACACATAGATGATGATACGTAAGCTACATTGCAGGTGAGGCTGCCATTCACCAGCACCACCAGCAGGCARAGCAGGTGACGTGTCTTTCCCAAAGACAACGACTGAGATGAATGGAACTCTGGATCGAACTGACAACCCACCGATTACAGTCTGACTCCCCGAACCCCTCTGCCACGTAAAATAAAAATATTTTTAAAATTACTGCCCCAGGTGGTCCTTTGCACAGTACAAAATAACTTAATTATAATTACCATTTTTATTTGCTAGACTGNTTACTTTACCTGGAAAGTCATGCCAAATTATCATCCCCATCCCCAAAAAGACACATCCAAAAGATGATAGACCAGTGCTGCTGACTTAAGTTTTATGAAAATGCGTGGAGTGACGTGTGTGATCAGTTAAAAAGGATAGTGTCAAATAAACTGGACCATTTCCAATTTKCTTATAAGGCAAGGCATGGGGTGGACGATAAAAGCCTCATGCTTTTAGACACCGTCACCAAACACCCGGACCCCACAAAGCCACACACAAGGAATCTATTTATGGACTTTTTTTCTGCTTTTAACACTGTYAGWATCAGCATTTTAYTGCAGTGCCTTTTTAKCACTTCTAATCAACCATCCAGATCTGARCRGGACAGTGACATATTTGGGGRTGTGGTCTGGTAGGTGTATATAGGATGTTTACAGTGGGGATAATCTAATCAAAKKAAAYGTTTAGATTATTTAGATGAATTCCTTCTAGTGACTGTTTACAGTTCACTCAGGTTAGGCTAGGTTTTATTTTCTAGTTTAGATGTATATTTTGGAGTTAATAATATAGTATTGGTCTGCCCATTAGTGGGACTAGTTTAATAGCCTATATGCCACGGTCATTAATGACGTATTTCCAGTAAAATTCTTGCCACGCTCCTCCCTTCCACTTCCTGCTTACTGCCTATGTTTTTAGCGTTAGCTGCTAGTACTAGTCGGTGAAAAAGTCACAAAAGTTAAAGCATCTGTGATCTGCTGGTGTAAAACATGAGTTCTGTTGTGTGTCTTTGTGTCCACTAACCAGCAGGTACAATACAGTAGTTAGTTTTTATCCTTTTTCCTTTTGATGAGGAGGTGACAGCAGAGGATCATAGCATTACAGGGAAAACTTATCTTTAAAAGCTCATGCTTGTGTTTGTAATCAGCATTTCTAACCTGAGGATATTCAAGAGTCAGCATCAGAAATGAGAAGATGGAGGTTACAAAAGAGAAATGTACATTTATCCCCTTTTACTGCCAAGAYGAGAGAGGAAAGACCTCCTCACAGCTAGCAGGAAGCTAACACAGCAGCCGSTACAAAGGTAGGTGTGTGCTCGTGCGCGTTTTTGTTATACAGAGTATGAAATGTTTTTAGGCACCTTTGTCATGAGTTTTATGCAAAAGTAAAAACTTGTTAGTGTATATTACAGTGTAG